GAAGATCACGGCTTTGATTTAAATGATTTTTGGAGTGAAATTAGACACGAAACCACACAAGTCGAGACGTGTACTAATGGCTTTAAGGTTATGTTGAAGCACGAATATGGAATGCTACTTGATATAGTGCATAAAACTATTGAGTGCAAATATTCTAGTAGGAATTATTTTACTAAGAAAAATTTGCCTTTGATGCATGCCATTGTGAATGTTGTTGCCGTAGATTGGGGACGGTTTATATATGGCCGAATAGTTGATCAAATTGGCCTAGCAAAACCATTGGTGAATGGATGGTTTCCTAATGATATTGGATATGGTTTTGTTGTTGGGGAGTTGTTGAAGTTGAAAGGTGTTGCCCTATCCAAACCAAAACCCATACAAAACCAAAATTACCTTTTTCGAACCCCAATCCCGGTTTATCCTTCCCTAGCCAATATCCGAAAACGAAAACCGGCAAATGCATCAACCTATTCCTTAGCCAAAAAACCTCCTTCTAACCGAGCTACTAGTCACGGGGAATCCAATACTCATGGAAGGGGTAGTGATGATGCTTGTAGCAATCAATTTGTTACCATACCCATACCCGTAACCCACACCCCAAACCCGAATGAAGAGGAGACAATTCCAAGTAAAGTTGGGAGTGTAGATGACATTCCAACTTATGGGGCAAGTAGTGAGTTGTTGAAGGAGTATGAACGTGTGAAAGTTTGGAGAAATTGGAGACTAAGTGATCATAATTCGGTTGCTACAACAATAGGACCGGATACTCTAGAGTTGGAAGAGTTTGCTCTAACATGGATTGGAACAAGAAATCTTGCTACCGCAACTAGGCTTTCGGTGATTAATGAGTGCTTTGTTAAGAAAGTTGCCATTAGTCGGGGCAAGGAAGTGGCTCAAGAAGTTCCCGAAGATGTCGTTGAGACAATAGATGGATTTGCTCGTGATGATATTGCCCGAGCATTGGTCATTTCTAGAGAAGAAGTGCACGGCACACATGGGGAAGCATCACATTTGAAGGAGACCGAAGGTGGAAGCTTGCAAGAATTAGACCCATTTCCTTCGAATATAGGGGATGACAACCTTAGTTTTGATGCTATTTCACCCCACATGGCTACGGATGTGACGAATTCGGTGAATGAAAATTTGGAAACAAATGTTGATGATGAAAGCCGAATGGAGGAACAAGAAAATGTGCAACAAATTGAAGTGTCACCTTTGCCACTAAACCGTGCCGAACCGATTCCTATTGCCACTGCCGAACCATTCATTCCCACTCATGATGAGCCCTTATGTCTTGAAGATACACCACATGTGGAAGCACCGGAGCCGGATAACACCACACTGCCGAGACATCCACATGAGACACACAAGGAGGTACATTCTACTCCCATTGATATTAATGCTTTGAAAGAAAACATTATTGGGGATGTACGAAAAGAAATTCAAGAGTTGAGAAGAGATGTCTTTCAAGAGTTTGAGAAAGTCCAAAATCAATTTGGTAATGTTGATACCAAATTAGATGACTTTCACAAAGAAGCATATGAAAGGGCCGAATCCTTGTTACTTGGACAAGGATCAATCCAAGGTGATATGGCCACAATGTCTACTAAGCAAGAAGAGCGTAATAGGGAAGTCTTGAAGATGTTCCTTGACTTAGGAAAGAAAGGAACGGAGTGTGAATCGAGGCTACGATTGGTAGAGAACCAATTGAAGGCTCTACTACATCAAGTTGGCGTGATCAATGATCTTTTAATTGGAGTCCAAAAGAGCCAAGACAAATCTTCGGCGAGTTTCCAACATTATGTGGATGCTGCCGAAAAGGGGGAAAGAGCTAGAGGAGCTCCAAGTCATTTGGTGAACCATTTGATTGGACCGTCATCACAACGACCACTAGTTGAGCTTGTTAGACCTCCAGGGGCACCAAGAGGAGTAACACCCACACCGAGAGCTCAAGGCCGAGAAAAAAGGAGAATAATGGATTATTTGATGACCCCTCAAAGCATGGATTTTCCTAGCCAACAAGAATGCCAAAGATCAACACCTTCAAGATCAATTTATGAAGAAAACAAGTTGAAGCTTATACGAGAGTTGGAGACATTCTTTGGGCACACAAGCAACGAAATGGTAGATGGAAGATCTTTTGAAGAATGCGTTGCTTGGTACCAAGCCGGAGTGTTACGGGGTGACAATGTTCAAGAAGCTTATGGAAATTATGTTACCGAGCAAGTCACCGCACCATACCAACCCGAAGGAAAGAAACGAGACTTCAAGGAATTAAGGGCACACGTGAATGCCTTAATTGGCAAGAGGTAAAATTTTGAAGCCTCAAATTTTTTGGTGTACATAATAGCTAGCTTGTTCGAATTATGCTTTTTGGAACATTATATAAATTGCTAGCATATGGTTTATTTCTTTACTTTGTCTAGTATGTTAATTGCTTTAAAGTCTCAAGATTTTAAATTGGACTTAGTAATTGCATGTGAGGCGTATAATTGAGAAAATAAAATTGAAAGGGGGAAGAAAAATTAAAAGATAAAAATCAATACGCAACCCCGCGTTATAGTCTCAATATACGTTTAGGACCGTCCAAAATTAAAATCTCTAGGTCTTAAATGTGTTAAACCCGTCAAATGGCTAGTCGCAATAAAATTGGACAGAAAGATTATTTTTCAAAAAATTTGACATAGCCAAATGACTTGGGTATAAGTTTCGGCATCATCAAAAAGGGGGAAATTGTTAGGAATATATTGTATAAGTTTTGATGAGCCAAATGTATTTTGTAGACCCCAATTTTATTTTATTGGAGTCAGTTCTGGTTCACAAAGTATAGTGCACCACTGCCATGAAGCCTACATGAAGTCTACGTGAAAGCAGTTTGAAGGAAGAATAAATGAAAACGAGATCATAGCTTAACAGATTTATGAAGCATCAAGTCACCAAAGGTTGAGATGGACGAGATGATAGAAGACTTGTTGAAGCATGCCTAATACGAAATGATCCACGGTTTGATTCTCATTTAAAGCAATTTTGGTGTAAAGATGAATTGCTATCGTGAAGTAGCAATATCAGGAGATGATGTCATCATGATAGTAATATCGTGATAGTTGAGAACTATCGGGTAATGACATCACGATGTGATAAAGCTAGTGGAGAACACGTGGAGGAAATAAGTCAAAAGAATTTAAGTCTTGGATTGTATCAATTGGATACCCAACCGAGATGGAAGAAGCCTTGCCAAGCAAAGTAAATGGTCCACAGTTCGATTCCCACCCGAATTGATTTTATGATTTCATGATATACATGGTCCATGATACAAGGTGGAACATGATAGCTAGATGGAACATGATATATATGGTCCATGATACAAGGTGGAACATGATATACATGGTCCATGATGCAAGGTGGAACATGATAGCTAACATGATATATATGGTCCATGATACAAGGTGGAACATGATATACTATTGGGACATGACTTCATCAAAAGGAGCTATGACATCATGATAGAATTAGACAGAAACATTATTTTGAAGCTCTGTTTCTGCAGAAGAAGTCGAAGGAGAAGAAGAAGCTGATATACGAAGGAGATCTTTTTATTACTCAAGCAAGAATCAGCAGATAAATTATTTGATCAACTTGGCACATCAGATCAATAACTCAACAAAAGTCATGCCAGAGAAATTCAAATTTGGAGGCTACCCATTCCAAAGAAAAAGCTTTGTCAGATTAAAGAGGAGCAACGGCAAATTTATTTAAATCTTCTGACAGACGACGAAATGATTTTTTGCAGACCAAGTTGGCAAAATTATTTGATCAACTACAATTCAAAATGGACGATCGAGATCGAAAGTTGATCAACGGGCAAATAGCTTTCATCTGCTATAAATTGCCCAAGCAGACTTGAAGACAAGCACGACTTGAACAAGAAAATTATCCAATCAATCATCAAGTGATATATTGAGCTATACACGATCAAATTCAAGTCTGAGTGAGAGAAAAATCTTTGTATTTCATTGTAAATCTTCTACTGAGTGTAGAAAAGGGGTAGAGTAACTAGGGAGAGTGAAAAACCCAGTTGGAGTGTAGCTTTGTGCGTAGCACTCGGTTGTGACGGGCAGAGTAACAAGGGGAGCTTGTGAAAACCCGGTGAGAGCGTAGCTTTGTGCGTAGTTCTCGTGGTGTAGGAGTACAGCTTGGTGCGAAGTACTCGGGAAGGCGGAGTAACAAGAGGAGCATGCGAAAAACCTTGGTGGAGTGTAGCTTTGTGCGAAGCACTCGGAGAAGTGTCGTTGGGCACTTATTCACTATTGTATCTGGGTGATCGAAGAATAGTGAATTTCCTCCTTGAAGTCAAAGGAGAAGAGTGGACTAGGAGGATTACACCACCTCTGAACCACTATAAATCTCTCTCTCTATTTACTTACTGCTCATATATATTTCGTGCATGCCTATATTATTTGTGAACTAACCCGTTACGGTTTATTGCATATCTTTATCTGTCTGGGTTTGATAGTTCCCTCGTTTGCATTCAAGTGAAATTTTATATACATCATCCTACATCTATACTAAGTGTTTCTAACGTGATGCATGTATAAAATCTCTATTTGAGCATGACACAATTTAAAGCATAACACTTTGCCGTTACAATTCCGCTGTGCACACTCTAAGTTGTTATACTTGTTTATGCTAGTTACTTAGAGTTGAAGTTACAAAGTGTTGTTTGCAGAAGAAGTTTGAAAAAGTTAGAGAAGTCTATTCATCCCCCCCCCCCCCTCTAGACTTCTCGCCACCCTTTCGGGACCAACAGGGTGGGATCCTGGAATAAGAAGTTGCTGTCACAAGCTGGTAAGGAGATTCTATTGAAAACGATAGCCCAGGCTATGCCTACCTTTTCAATGGGTGTCTTTTTACTAACGAATTCACTTTGTGTGGCGATTCAGAGGATTATGAATAGGTATTATTGGGAGAAGGGGGGCGTAGGCAGAGGAGGTATTCGCTGGATGGCTTGGGATCGTCTCAGTAAGCCCAAAGTAGCTGGGGGACTGGGTTTTAAGGACCTAAAGGCCTTTAATCTTGCAATGCTGGGGAAGCAGGCATGGCGTTTCCTTACGAAGCCAGAATCTTTGGTTACAAAAGTATATAAAGCAAGGTATTTCCCTAAATCTAATTTTATAGATGCTATTGTGGGAAATAGCCCAAGTTATTGTTGGAGAAGTATTATGGCTGCCCATGACCTTGTATGTGGAGGGATAAGGAGGAGAATTGGGAATGGACAAACAACATTGATAGGTAAGGATCCTTGGCTATTGGACTTGGATTATAAGATTCATACTGATTTACCAGGTAATATCTATGAGGCAAGAGTATCAGGTTTGATTGATCAGGATACTCGTACCTGGGACCTGGATATTTTGAATGATATTTTTGACCCCATTGATGTAAATAGAATCCGCAGGGTGCCTGTTTGTCCGGATTATGAGGATACATGGTATTGGTATAAGGAGCATAATGGATCATACTCTGTTAAAAGTGCTTACCGGGCAGTTGTAGGAGAAATACAAAATAATACTGGTTTTAATAAATGGAATGCGTTGTGGAAATTGGATGTGCCACCAAGGTGGAAAACTTTCTTGTGGAGAGCCTTAAGTGGTATTTTGCCAACTACAACAGCCCTGGCGATTAGAAGAGTTGATGTGTCTCTAGCATGTCCTATGTGTCTTGATTTTAATGAGGATGTTATGCATTGCTTATTAGAATGTCAATATGCTTGTCGAGTTTGGAATGAATCTTGTATTGATATATCTTCTGTGGTTGGGGGGTCTTTTGTTGAGTGGTTTCAGAATGCAATGACTGTGCTAACAAAGGAGAATCTTACTCAAATTGTTGCAGTTTTATATCACCTTTGGATTGCAAGAAATTCAGTAGTTTGGGAGGGGAGTATGAAGATGCCGAAGATGTTATGGTGCAGCGCCAAAGCAACCCTCACTGCCTGGGTAGCGGCTCGGTCACCAACGCCTCCAACAGCACAGCAGCAATGTCACGCCGTCATTCCACAAGGACCAGCCTGCTTTGTAGATGCGGCATGGAGCCAAATGTCACGGACAGCAGCGTTTGGGGCAGTAATGTTAGATGGGAGCGGATGCTTTGTGGCGGAAACGAGTGGTCGGCTTCCGTTTTGTGAAAATGCTATCACAGCGGAAGCTCTAGCTTGTATGGAGGCGTTATCTTGGTTGAAAGATCGGCAAGTAACAGAAATTACAATTCACACAGATTGTTCGGTCCTACAATCCTATCTATCCAGAATTGGCTCGCAACCCAGATCATATGTTGGAATTGTGGTTCATGAGTGTCAAGTGCTTACGGCACAATATAATTCATGCCAGTTTCATTTTATTCCGAGACGTTTAAATATTATTGCTCATACTTTAGCTTCATTGGTCTCTGACCAGAACATTACTATGTATTGGGACGATGTCCCTCCTGATGCTATTATTCCGCACTTACAGTAATGAAAATTTGCAACCCAGATCATTTGCAAATTTGCACTTACCAAACAATGCCTGGATCTATTATTAAATAATCTAATTTCTAACATTATAAAATTAATATTTCAGTGTACATTTTTTTTTTATTACAAAGGAAGGGGATACCCAAACTACTAATCACCTCCACTAAGGCTCGAACCTATCACCTCCCACTTAGGGGAGCAACCAGATACCATTAAACCACAAGGTCCTTAGTATTTTTTTAAGAGTTAATAAACAAAATGGTCCCTCGACTATGCTGTAATTACCAATTTAGTGCTTAATTACCAGTCTTACCCAATTAAGTCCTCAATTATGTAATCTTTGCCTAATTTAATCCTCGGTTAACTTGTCTATTTGTTTATAGTTAAAATTAGGAGTAAAAAATGTAATTTCATAAGTTAAACACTACCCCACGATAACTCTGCAGAGAGCTCTTGATTGTTAAATGTACCTTCTGCCACAGTGTATGGAAAATACCAACTTACTAATGCAGCGAAACAAGCACAATATTATTGTGGAATATTTGACCTGCTACCCCATTAAACCACAAGGTCCTTAGTATTTTTTTAAGAGTTAATAAACAAAATGGTCCCTCGACTATGCTGTAATTACCAATTTAGTGCTTAATTACCAGTCTTACCCAATTAAGTCCTCAATTATGTAATCTTTGCCTAATTTAATCCTCGGTTAACTTGTCTATTTGTTTATAGTTAAAATTAGGAGTAAAAAATGTAATTTCATAAGTTAAACACTACCCCACGATAACTCCGCAGAGAGCTCTTGATTGTTAAATGTACCTTCTGCCACAGTGTATGGAAAATACCAACTTACTAATGCAGCGAAACAAGCACAATATTATTGTGGAATATTTGACCTGCTACCCCACTGCGACAACCCAAAATTTAATTTTATCTTGGTTGAAAGATCGGCAAGTAACAAAAATTACAATTCACACAGATTGTTCGGTCCTACAATCCTATCTATCCAGAATTGGCTCGCAACCCAGATCATATGTTGGAATTGTGGTTCATGAGTGTCAAGTGCTTACGGCACAATATAATTCATGTCAGTTTCGTTTTATTCCGAGACGTTTAAATATTATTGCTCATACTTTAGCTTCATTGATCTCTAACCAGAACATTACTATGTATTGGGACGATGTCCCTCCTGATGCTATTATTCCGCACTTACAGTAATGAAAATTTGCAAATTTGCACTTACCAAACAATGCCTGGATCTATTATTAAATAATCTAATTTCTAACATTATAAAACTAATATTTCAGTGTACATTTTTTTTTTTATTACAAAGGAAGGGGATACCCAAACTACTAATCACCTCCACTAAGGCTCGAATCTATCACCTCCCACTTAGGGGAGCAACCAGATACCATTAAACCACAAGGTCCTTAGTATTTTTTTAAGAGTTAATAAACAAAATGGTCCCTCGACTATGCTGTAATTACCAATTTAGTGCTTAATTACCAGTCTTACCCAATTAAGTCCTCAATTATGTAATCTTTGCCTAATTTAATCCTCGGTTAACTTGTCTATTTGTTTATAGTTAAAATTAGGAGTAAAAAATGTAATTTCATAAGTTAAACACTACCCCACGATAACTCCGCAGAGAGCTCTTGATTGTTAAATGTACCTTCTGCCACAGTGTATGGAAAATACCAACATACTAATGCAGCGAAACAAGCACAATATTATTGTGGAATATTTGACCTGCTACCCCACTGCGACAACCCAAAATTTAATTTTATAAATTCGGTTTTAAGAAATTTTAAAATAGTCATTTTTCACTCTATCAAAATTTTTTGAGATAAAATCGATGTTTGAATAAATTATTTTGAGATACTTTTGAATAAATTTAACACCGGGACTTATTATAATTCTAAAATTCTAAATTTTCGGGTACATTGCATACTAAGTTTTTGAATCAAAAGTCAATCTGAGTGAAACCGGGAGAATCTGAGAAACCTAAACTAAATGGTTGTCTAGAAAGAATTTTTGGAAAAATGTATTTTGACCCCAAAACTATTTTAAACTATGATTCTAGACCTTGGTCCATGTAGCATGGTAGACCACAAAATCCATGTGTTTGATACATTATAGAATCAACCAAATTTACTATTTTGCCATCAACCAATCATAAGCGAATTTCCTAGGGTTTTGCACCCTATAAAACCCATCTTATTCCTTCATTCTTCTCTGATCTCATTTCCGTTGCCTCTCCAAGCCAAGTCTGATAGAAGAAAATATTCATAGTAAGCTATCCTTCATTCATCATTCCACCACTTTGCTTCTTGAGTTATTTCCTTTAACTTCCCAATCTCTGAGATACTTAGGTCTAGCTTTTGTGGTTGCTTGGGGGTGTTTAGGTGGTGAAAGAAGTGAAGGTTTTTGAGTAGAGAGGGGGCTGAGATCCACACAAGAAGAGGAGGCACCAAAGGTATAACCCATGGACTCCCACCTCTTTACTTAGACTTTGTGAAGTAAAGTTTATTGATGAAAATGTGATGAAGATGAACCCCACTGGTGCACAGACAGTGTGCACCAGATGGAGTCACGGAGTTAGCCAACGGCCCTAGGCAGCGACCGTTGGCAAGCCCCATGAAGGAGCATCCCTAGGGCACGGTTCACAACTAGAGTCGTGGCCCTAGGCCACCGCTTGGTTGATCCAAGCGGCGGGGCTCCTCTAGCCCCACTGCAAGCACCGCCAGGCCAATACAGTGCAGTGGTCGGGCCCCTTGTGGCTCAGCTACGTGTCGTTCGTACCGGGACTCGCGGGCCCTTGAGGCTCGGACACTCGGGATTGTTACGACGCACTAGTTGAATTTGGAGTTGAAATGAGTAAATTACAGTAGCTTTTGCATTGAGAATTGTCAATGATATGTACTGTGTAGCATTTACAGACAAGGAAAATGTGAAGTTTTTAGACTTAGCTATTTGAATGAGAAGCATGATCATTATTTGCCAAAGTTTGCTTGATTAGCATGTTTAAATAGCCATTGTGAGTTATTGAGAATTTTGCCAAGAATATGAGATGTTTGGTTGTACAGAGCATGAATCTATTTGTCCAGTAAAGTGAAATATTAAAGCATGTTGTCTATTTTGTGTTCAAAGAGCATGATCAATATTTGTTAAGTGTTTGCTAATAAGTTTTGCTAAGTATTAAAGTGATAAGCATGAAGTAGCATATTGTTTGCTTGACTTATACTTAAAGAGAATTTGAGTTATTTCTTATAGTAAAGAGTATATTTAGCATATCATAAACTAAAGTGCATAAGTGGCTCTAAGTAAGCCTAAGTATTCTTTCAAAAATCTATATCTATTATCGAAAATCATTATCTACTTGCACTGAGAAGTTGCATGATATTTGATTTCCAATTTGTGATAAAAGAGAAGCTGTTGAGAAGCTATGTGCATAAGTAAAGTTATTGCATGAGTTATATCTATATGTATCTAGTGTGAGTAATATGAGGATTTGGAGGCCCGTTAGGACTATGTCCTTTCGGAAGAAAAGAGAAAGTAAAGAAAGAAACGGACATTGCGGTCCAATGTGAAGTAACAAGGTCGATTGTAGCACCCCACTTTTCTAACTCTTAATTATAACCCTAAACAATCTTTTACATAAACTAAGCAGCGGAAATATTAACCAAAAGATAAATAGTGGGAGTGTCACCGCCATAACCACCCCTCCGTTGTGATTGCACAGGCTAAAGGGTACTATTAGAAATAAGATAAAAATCTGGTGTTTAAATAAAATACTGGAAACGTAAGGGGGAAAACGTCACCCCAAATAGTGTACAACATCATCAAAGAACATAGAGTCAATATGTCTAGTCATCAAAACAAGATCATCAATAAATCTAGACTTTAGACATCTCTAACTACGAAACTAATCTAACTCGACTTCTTCACACTGCTGGGTCCACCTGAAAGGGGTTTTGCAAGCAACACATAGACAAATAGGAAAACACCCGTTAGCAGGAAGTTAAGTATAACCACACTCAACCCTGTAAAGCATTCTAGCATTTACTCGGAAATATTTGATTTCTTTATCAACAATAACTCATCTCAAATCATCTTTAAATCTATCACATACTTTCTAGATGCTTGCACCCTATAATATCAGCTGGCATGCTCATATATATAAGACTGATCACTTAGTTTCATCAACATATAACTTCTCAAATAAGTTATCAAGCAATTCATGCTTACAGATAGGATCATGCTAATACACCATATAACAGGTATTCTCATGCTTTCATATTCTCATCTCATAATTTGATAAACAAGACTTCTAATACAACAAAACGATTAAAAGTCAACGTTCACATTATGTACTTTCATGCGATACTTTAATCAAATGCAATCTTGTGCAATGTTATAATCGTACTCATGTGCAATCTCGTACAATGCTATAATCGTACTCATGTGCAATCTCTTGCAACAATATGTTCATACTCATATGCATTCTCGTGCAACAATATACTCATACTTATATGCAATCTCATGCAACAATATATTCATACTTATATGCAATCTCGTGCAACAATATACTCATACTCATATGCAATCTCGTGTAACAATATACTCATACTCATATGTCATCTCGTGCAACAATATACTCATACTTATATGCAATCTCGTACGACAATATATATATATATATATATATATATATATATATATATATATATATATATATATATATATATATACTCATGCACACTCGTAAAAATAGAGTACTTTCTGTGGAGGTCTCTTTCTTTCTTTCTTACTATTGAGTCTCTCTTGACTCGCTTTTTTCTCTTGACTCTCTCTTGACTCGCTTTCTTTCTCTTGAGTCTCTCTTGACTCGCTTTCTTTCTCTTGACTCTCTCTTGACTCGCTTTCTTTCTCTTGAGTCTCTCTTGACTCGCTTTCTTTCTCTTGAGTCTCTCTTGACTCGCTTTCTTTCTCTTGACTCGCTTTCTTTTCTTTTCGCTCGTAAACGGCTCAGGGTTTCACCGTAGCGTGAATTGCCCCATCGGGAACGACGTAAGTCCGACCCAATATCTCCTACCGTTTACGGAACCAATCTCGTGGTTCACGCGCTGTGGAATCAGGTATTGAACATTCAGTGTGCACACCCCCTGACCAGGATTCCAAGCCTGGCGGGCAGTTTCCAACCTCGTAACGTGGGAATACGCCGCGTTACATGTACTGGGACTGCAATGTCCATAAATATCTCTCGAGAGGACATAGTCCAAATGGTATCCTCCAAAACCTCACCAACATAGATAATACATAAATATATCTCTCATGCATGCAACAACTTTACTACTACTCAATGCATCAAAGAATGATAATATACCACATGCTCATGGTTTTTGGAAATATTCTTGGGCTCACGTTGGCCCCTTATGCATTTTTGAAATATGACACATGTGAAATGTCAAAATGCTCTATAACATGCTTCTAAAACCATGAATGAAATATAATGAAATACATAAGAATATAGTGTCATGCTCGGTTTGCAACATAGCAAATTCTATCAACAAAATATGCTTCATTTCTCATTGATCAAATATCACAATTTAATCATGCTATCATAATAAATCACATTCTCAAATGATAATGCCTCTTTACTCAATAAAAACATCATCAGATCACATAGCCAAATATTTCATCATACACAGTAGCTGGCAAATATATACTCTGTGTAGCAAATCTTCACCAATTTCTTCATAACATACTCATTTTTAATCCAAATTCAACGAAATCAAAGCCAAAACGTGCGTCGAGACGGTCCCGAAGAGCCGAGCGACAAGGGCCCATAACACTCGGCCCGAAATGACACGTAGCTAAGCCACAAGGGCCCGACCACTGCACAGATTCTTCTCAGAATCAAAGTCAGGGACCTGGGGCGGGACTCCTCATGGTCCGGCCCTTGTACCCCGTTACTTCACCGGGACTAGGCGGCGGCCCTCCTCTTGGGCCGTGCCCTAGTCATGTGCCACCACGGCTCTAGCCGGCGGCCCTCCTGATGGGCCGCAGCTAGGGCCGTGAGTCTGATCTGGTGCACACTATGTTGTGCACCAGAAGGTTTTTCATCTGCAAATTCAGTCCAAACATGTCCAAAACAATCTCAACAACTCACAAACAAATACTAGATCACTTCTAAGCATAAACACGACAAAATCTCATAGATTCTACTCATTTCTACTCAACAAAAAGGCTTCACAGAGCCAAATTTTAAAGAGGGAGTCCATGGGGTTATACATCTTGTAGCTTCTTCTTCTTGTGTGGATCCCTTCTCCTTTCCCCTTCAGAGATTACTACGTTCCCCCACCTATCTTCCTCAAACAAACATACATGCCTACTAAGCTTAAGGCAACTCAAAGATGGGAGGTAAAGAATGAACAAAGTCTGTGAAATGAAAATGAAATGGATGGAGGAATCAATGGCAGAACACTTACTGTGATTTCTTCTAAGGCTTGGAGTGAAGAGGCAAATGGAATGGATCAGGAGAAACAAGGAGAATATGTTCTATTTATATGGGTTCAAAACCCTAGGTAGGTGGCCAATGATTGGTTGGGGGCAAAAGGGTAATTTTAGCTTGATCTCTAAAGTATCAGACAAAACTTTGTGGTCCACCTTGTATCATGAACCAAGGGCTAGATAGATTATTTTTGAATAAATTGGGGTCAAAATGTATTTTTCCAAAAAGATTTCCAAACAAACACTTGGTTCAGTTTTCTCCCGGTCTCACTCAGATTGGTTTCTCAGTTAAAAACTTGGTACGCGAAGTACCCGAAAATTTAGGATTTTAAATTTAAAATAAATCCTGATGTTGAATTTACTTAAAAGTGGCTCAAAATAATTTATTCAACACCAATTTCATCGCAAAAATTTTTACGGAGTGAAAAATGGCTATTTCGAAATTTCTTAAAATTGGATTTATGAAATTAAATTTTGGGTTGTTACACTCTATCCCCCTTAAAAGAATTTTTGTCCCGAAACTTAGAAGGACGGATCAATTTTCTCAAAACGGAAGCTTTCGAAAAGATGGTAAGAATCTCAAGAATTGGTTTAGAAGTTTCTCTTGGAATACTAAGAAGAAACGGAATCTCTGAGTTCCAAACAAGCACCGAAGCAACTAAGGTGCTAAACTTAATTTAACTGCTAGAATTCACTAACTCAAAGTTTCTTTGTTACTTCTCTTATTCTTATCGTTATTACCACTTCTTTGGTCTCCACACTTGAACTTCTACGTTTTCTCTCATGAAAACTGAGAGTGTTTCACAAACACTTTTCTTTCTTATTTAGTAGCATCTTTCTCGTCTTTACTAGGGTCAGACACCCACAAAGTTCAAACTAAAACCGATCTCAACCTCTCTTGCTTGAACTAGTATATACTTCCTTACATACTATTTACTGTTCTCACCCCTCAAGGACCTTACACGTAATGAGATCTAATTCTCATAACACTACTATGTTCACTCTGATCGTAGTTGATAAACTCCAACTACCTCGATCCTTTCATTTGACGTCATCACTTCCTCATCGTTTACATAATCCTTTAACTATTGATAGCAAACAAAATCAACCTTCATTACCGCTTTCACTTCTCAAGTTCATCATTCGATTTCTATTATCATACTAGACATAATGTCGTAGCCCTTCTTTCATACCACACATGGATACTCATCTTAGGGATATATCAACCCTCCTGACCACGTAATGTGATCCAACTCGCTCTTAGTTCTCTTTATTGTAGACCAAAAGTAGCAACTCTCTTTCAATCTGGTTCGGTGTATTCCTTTACTGCTTCCTTACTAATTCCATGGTATAACTTATCCCTTTACCAAGCACTTCGTTATAAAACTTCTTGATACTACTTAACTATCCTTGTTACTTTTATCAACTTGTTACTTATCTCTTGCTAGCCTTGTTCACCTTTTCTACCTCAAGGGGTTCCCCACACGAGAAATACAATCATACACCCCTCTACACTTTAAATCTTTGTCTACGTTAGTCATCAGTGCCAACTTATAATAAGTTTCTTTTACTAAGTCTTTTCCAAAACTTATTATAGTTCGATAAACTCCGACTTGATTATTCCCCTTCTTACTAATATTTACCATCGCTTTTATACGAAACTCTTAACGTTACTTTCTTCCTTGCCTTATCCACGTTCATCCTTTCAGAAGTCGTTCAATGCAAAGTCTCATTCTTCTTCAAGAAAGTTAAACGATTGTGTTAATCGTTTAGATTTACTTCTGCCAATCTCATTCCTTCAAATACCCAATCATTCTATCATAAGTTCAACTGCTTCTTGTTTCATTCTCATTACCACCATTCTTCTTTAAGTTCTCACATAACTTATCCTCCTTTAAATTTACATTCTTTTACTTGTCCCTTTTTGCTTAGTTCTTTCCTTAACTTCTTCACACTTCATAGGGATTCACAACTTACTGACAATGCTTCTTACTATATTTATATCTTTTATATCCCAAAGTTACCATCCATCGTCTTAGACTTTCACACCTTTGGAGTTCACAACTCCTAGCTCATCTCCTTCTTATCTTCTTAAAGGTAGATGGTATTGCGCCTTCTATTTGTGTAACCCAATCCTAAGTTCCAAGTCTTCTATTTCCTGGGTTTAACTCTTCCTCTTTGCTTTAACCTTTAGTCTTCAAGTTTGACCTTTGAAGGTTCCTTCACCATTGATCTCGAAAGCATCCACTTTGCGTAATTTGTTTCCTTCTGGTTGCATCAGCATTCACACTTGTCTTTTCTTCACGATTGAGAACCTTTAAACCTTCGTCTTTAAGCTCTCGTTGCTTCTTTTTCTTCATATTTGTCTCCAATTGCACGGAGATTCTCTTCAACCTTTGGGGTTTGCATAAGTCTTGTAGATGATGCTGCACGTGGAGCAACCTTCTTCATCAAGCTCTTCGGTCGTCTAGTTGCCACGCTACTACCTTACTTCTTCGCAACAAAATATCTCACTACTTCTAACTTCTTTTCTCAAAAGCAAGGATCACATAGGTAAAACACACATACAGGATATAAGCATAACTCTTATACTTATCACATTAACAACTTTCACATAACTTTAAACTTTTAACTCTTCAACTTTCACTTTTCAAGGATAAAACAAGGGTGAACAAAGCAACTTCTTAACAAACAAACTTGAATTCACCGGATAGGTGTACACTTGATTTGAAGGAATTTCGACTTCACAAATGGTGAAAGTAAGAGATTTCTAAATTTGAAACTCGAGAGTACTATGGGTTACAACCCAAGTTCTGCTTATCAAAGTCAAGATTTTCCAAGATTCAACAAAGTCTCGTGAAACAAAACTGTAGATCGGATCCCAAAAGAAGAGCACAACATAGAATAGTCTCAATGAAATAACTCAATACTAACAGATTCCAAATGAAGATGCAATAAGGATTTAATCTCAAAACAATATATCAATACTAGTGGATTCCAACTAAAGGTATAAAAGAGAGATGATCTAGAATCAATAGCTCAATTGCTCAATAGCTCAATAACAAAGAAAGAATGCTATACTGGACAATCTCAATACTATAGCAACTTGATCCGAGTGTACAAAAAGGACGCATAGTCAATACAATAGCTCTCTAAGAGTAAAACACTTTCAAGAATACTCATCAAATATAAGCTCATAGGAATAACTCAACAAATACGGATTCCAATGGCATAGCAACAACAATCAGATCTTGACTCAACAACTCAATGGATCCTAACAATATGGATTCAAGGATAATAAGCTCAAGTCAAATACACTGAGATTCCAAGAATAAGGCTTTCAACAAGATCATACTAGCTTCAAGATTCAATTATACTAGCATTGCATCTCAACGATAGCTCACAAAAATACTTAGAAAGAATCTATAAGCGTGCTAGATGCAAACTCACCAATGAATCGTGGAATATCAAGATGGCAAAATCTGGGTAATAGTGGATCGACTAACCAAGACGGCACGATTTATTGCCATGAAAGAGACTTGGACAATGACACAACTAGCCAAAACTTATATAAACCATGTAGTAAAATATCATGGAGTCCCACAAAACATCGTTTCTGATAGAGACCCCAGATTTCTCTCACAGTTCTGGAAATCACTGCAAACGGCCATGGGGACGAGACTAAAGTTGAGCACCGCTTTCCACCCCACTACCGATGGCCAAACCGAGAGGACGATCCAAACCCTCAAAGACATGTTGAGAGCCTGCATGTTAGACTTCCAGGGATCATGGGAGGAACACCTAGATCTAATTGAATTTTCCTACAACAATAGCTACCATGCAAGCATTCGTATGGCACCTTATGAGGCACTGTATGGTCAAAAGTGTAGGACTCCCATATGTTGGGAAGACATGGTTAATCCGGTGACTCTGGGACCCCAGTATTTACAAGACACCATAACAAAGGTCAAAAACATACAAGAGAAAATGAAGGCTGCACAAGACCGCCAGAAGTCCTACACCGACCTAGGGAGGAAACAAGCTGAATTCTCTGTAGGGAAAAAAGCTTTGGCTAAAGATTTCACCCACTCGGGGAGTGATGAGATTCTGGAAGAAAGGGAATTTAAGTCCTAGGTTTATCGGCCCCTACGAAATCTTAGAGAAAGTCGGAAACCTGGCTTACCACCTCGCGTTGCCAGCCGAACTAGAGCGGGTACACAACGTATTTCACGTGTCGCAACTAAAGAAATATGTGCACGACGCGACTCACGTACTACAACCCGAAATAGTGTGCTTGGATTACGCCCTATCCTACAAGGAAAGGCTGTGAAAATCCTGGACACAAAGACAAGGGAGACCCGCCGGAAGACTATGAAGATGGTTAAAATCCTCTGGTCCAATCACAAGACCGGGAAGCGACATGGGAGCTCGAAAGCACAATGAGGGAACGCTACCCCGGCCTATTCACACCAGTTAACATAGACTAGACCTTAGGCTAAGATGTTAGGTTACACCTCGTCACGTCTAAGCTTCGGGGATGAAGCTTCTTGTTAGAGGGAGGGTGTAACACCCGTGTTACGGCCTTCAAACCCGAATTAATTATTAAACTAATTCCGTTAATTAAAGTAATTAAGAAGGATTTAATTCAATTATGATTCTCTTAATTAATCTATGCGGTCCTCGATGGATCATGGACCTTTGCCTGAACTAGAAACCTTAAGCCCGTAGGAAATAAGGAAAGTGGGTCTTATTATTCTGACTCTGAATAGGTTTCCCTTAAACATATAAATAGAATATTAGGAAGCAGATAGAACCCTTCCTCACATCATTCTTACTCGAAAATACTCTCAGGAAATCCAGCCAAGGAAATCCCCCACCAGCAAGCTTAGGAAGACCAATTGGGAGAAGAATCTTAGGGAAGAACCTTAGTAGCCAAGGGAAATCTATTAGGGCTAAGAGGTAACTCATGTCTTACAAAACCTATTTTCCTTGCTATATCTTGATTATTGGCTCTTTTGGTAATTGTAATTTTAATTCTGTGATTGAGTCTTGATAGAGCTTTGCCTAGGTTTTATGTTGTGTTTATTTGATAATCTTGATGATCTTGATGTTGTGATTGATTATATGTGTAATCTTGTATTTAATTATGTCTAGAGCTTGTCCCTAGGGTTTATATCGTGAATTTTGTATTGTGATGTTCTTCGTGTTATTGGGTGGGTTTATGCATGCTCGGGCGTTGAGTCTAGCCTAAGACTTGTCTGTAGGGCTTTGCATATAGATTTCTTGATGTTCTTGAGGTTCCAGATGCTCCTGAATTGTTATGTGATTGATGTTGAGTCGTGACATGTTTAGGAATCGTGTTAGAATGTAATTGGATGATTCTTGGTTTAATCTTCGTTAATTTGTTATTACGTGTTAAAGTGTGTTTGGACATGGTTTTGAGTTCCACGAACAAACACCGACCGGGATTTCTACCTTCGTACCAGTGGGGGTATGCCCGTGGCGCCCAATTCTAGCAGGCAGTGGCCTACCGCCTGGGCACCCGCTGGAAAAGTGGCTGCCCGCCAGCGGGTGGCCGGCGGGTGGTCCACCACCCACTGCCCACCCGCTGGAAAATGGGTGAGCAGCGGGATGTTTTCTCCCATTTGTTGTTTCCCCGTGCCCCGTTGTACCCCGTTTGATGTTTATGAGTCTCGTACGATGTTTTGGTTACCGTTCTAGGAATTTATGTGTAGTGCGTATCATTGTTATTATGTCTTGATTATTATTGTTGATTGAATGTTGATTGATGTGACTGATGATGATGAGATTGTGATTGGTGGAAAATAATTGTTGGCGGAAAGCACAACGAGTGCTCAGTTATCGTGCTAAAGGCACGGACTACCCCTTAGACTTGCTGGCTAAATGCTTGGGTCAGGGTATAAGCGCCGCGATGTCATGTTAGGGCTATATGCGCTGACCCCTTGGTATTGGTGCTAGAGGCACGGACCATGCGAATGACACTTCGATGCTACCATGTTGGTGGACTTGTTGGTGGTTACGGAGTAGGGCATGTAGTTGCTCCGGAGGAATAAGGGAGGCGATATAAGGGTGGCCAGGAGGTACAGGTTGGAACTGAAATAAGGATGGAGGGGAGTAAAGGTTGGAACTTAGTATAAGGTTGGAAGATGAGTTGTGTGTTCTAAGGATTATTTGCTAATTGATGATTATTTAGTCTTGTTGCTTGCCTTTAATTGTTAAATATGTGCTTGCCTGTTTATGATACTTTGCAAATATAGGACGCATGTTAGTAGTATTCGTGATGTCGATCCAGGGTTATACTCTGAGTCCTGATCTTGATTTGAAAGCTAATGTTACCTAAGACTATATATGTATTCCAGTTTCAAAATGATTTCCTATGTTTATATTTATTGTACTTAACGCGTGGGAGTGGGTTACTCAGCATTATTCGCTAACGGTTGCTACGATATATTTTTCAGGTGGCGGTCTTTTGCTAAGGAGCGCGTTAGATGGTCCGTGGATTTAGCTTAGTAGTAGTTAGACGGCCTGTGAGCCTTGAATTGTGTAACGGATATTAATTATAGTTTATTCCTTGTTCAGTTAGTCTAGCCTGTGCATCTAGGTTCTCAAACCTAGATGTGGCATAGCACCCCGACAATTATGTTTGGTTTATTCTCTGTTTGGGATGATTAATGGTAGATTACGCTATTTATTTAAGCTTTTAATCATTTTAAAAATTAGGGGTGTTACAGCACTCGTCAATCCAGTCAAAAAGCAAGAGAGCAAATTCGAAGAAAGTGGATGCAAGACAAAAATGTGACATTGAGTGCAGAAGGACAATTCATACCCTACGAAGAATATGTTGTAGGCGGTGGAAAGCGCTTTGAAGGATGTAACATACATGTCCACATGAAGAAACAAGATAATCAAGCAAGGCAGGAATATCAGAGAGCCCGAAACAAAGAAATAAGAGAAGAAAACGAAAGGAAGCGGCTAGCTGAAGAAGAAGTCAGAATAAGAAGAGAACAAGATCTTGCCTACTTTCAGGAAATCCAAGAGAAAATCAAAGACCTTAGCACTGTTGAGATTGATGCTGATCCATATGCCAAACACAATGCTGTCTTTAAAATTCATGAAAAATCAGGCAAGAGCTATCTCGAGGGAATGAACTCCATTGAACTTGTTATTTGGTGGAACAATGGAATAGTTCCAGGAAGAAATGTAGTCGAAGCTTACAACGACTACATTAATTACAACTTCACTAATCAATATGCAGAAAAAGCTCGAGACAAAGGTATTAGAGCTTTCAAAAAACTTTTCAATGATGAACTCGACTATCAGACCTTGGCAGGAAAGCGGGAGGCAGAAAAAAAGGAAACCCGAATGAAAGAAGCTGCACAGAGAGATAAGATCTTGAACATGTAATAACTAGTTATTTCAATCTCTTTTTGTAATACATTAAACTTGAATGAAATCTCTCTTTTTGCTGTCTGTGTTAAGTCGTTTATTTAATAATAACTTTCTTAGATTTCTCTTGTAAACTCAACTATAGGGATGCTTTGTAATAAAAATCCTTTAATGGATAATTTTCAGCCTTATATCAAGAGTATAGGTTTTGGCATCATTAAAAAGGGGGAAATTGTTAGGAACAGATGTATTTAGATTTTGATGATACCACACTCACTAGGATTGTAGACCCCTCTTTTTACTTTCGTTATACTGCATCTTTCGTGTTAGACGAAAGAAGCTTCAACTCACCATGTGATTCGTGTTGAGGAACACATATACATGAATCTGAGTTGTGTTTAGTAAATTAGGTCTACCTGAAGAAGAGAAGATCAAGAGAAGGCCGAGAGAGCAAATTACACCGAAACATGGAAGGGTCTAACTCTCGTGTAAACGTCAAATGATGAGAAAGATCACTTGACTAGAAGGAAAGACGAAAGATAAGGACAATCTTTCGTTCCCGAGACAAAAAGTCTAAGTCAGACTTAAATATACAACTTCTACATGTAAATAAGAAGAATGTTTGTCTATCTCTCACAGCTGGGCAATCATCCTAGACAAAAGGAGTCCTAGGAATGATATTCACAAAAATCAAGAAGCATTAAATGATTAGTACCTTTGTCAGTGAAAAAGGACAAAAGGACAAGCAACTTTTGCCACCAATGGCTACACAGTACATCCGTATTAAATGCTTCATGCCCAGTGGTTATTACACACTAGTTAATAGGTTTGAAATTTCATTACCCTCCAACGGATGAATTTTTCCTCACCTATAAATACCCCTCTTCACCACTGAAGAAGGTGCTGGTTTTTCATTCAATTTCTATCTACAAAAGCTTTGTTAACAAGTGTCATCCAAAAAGCTTTCAAACCAGTGTGTTGTTGTGAAGGTTCTTTTTAAGGGATCATCTAGACTACAAGCTTTCACAACACAAGGAAATCTTGCATTTTGTAATCGAAGATTCAAGCATCATCAAGTCAAGATTTCATGAGTTGGAGAACAACATCAATTCTTTCCAACCCTCAACTCTGAAGAAGACGTTGATAGAGGCGGAGTAAACTCGAGGAGTTGAAAAACCTACACAAGTAGCTGTCCGGCTTAGTGATCAAGGAAGCTAGCTTATTTAGTTTATACTAGGAGTGATATTGCAAACCCTTTCACAAGTTGTGGAAGAAGAGTGGAGTAGGCTTTGTTAATAGCCGAACCACTATAAAAATCTCTCTCTCACTCTCTCATTACTTTCGTTTATCTATCTATCTGGCATTGCATTCATATTGACCAAACCCTAAGATTTTCATAACGAAACCGTGCAAAGAATATTCTAAAACAAGTTCACACTTTTCCGCTGTGCATATCATTCGAAATGATTATTTTTAAAATTGGAGTATAGTCTATTCAATCCCCCCTCCCCTCTAGACTCTCTTTCGACCTTACCGGGACCAACAATATATATATATATATATATATATATATATATATATATATATATATATATATATATATAAAAGAAAGTTCATATGCGGCGGGGTCTTCCCATGCGGCAGTGCTGCGGAATTTCAGAATACATCAACAGTGTTAACAGTGTAAGAGAAACACACCACAATGAAATTCAAAAAAACACCAAAAAATACACAACAGACCCAAAAAAAAAATACACTATATAACTCATCACCCCCAATTGTGTATTTCCGAAAACTGTATGATGTTTTTACTCACACCTAATGGTGTGTTTTTGGTGATGCGTACCTAATTTGTGTGTGTTTTTGTGGTGTATTTTCCTAACGTTGATGGTATATATTTGTTGAACTATTGGTGACGCCGCACCGTAAGACACCGCCGCACCTGAACCTTCCTCTATAAACTTTGTATTGGGTTCGGGTTATGGACGGCTAGTAATTACAACATCATATATTAAAAATGCCTTATAAAATTCATGGTCCACACAATAATTTGCCAAGTAAAACATATATAGTAACATTATTAATAATTACATGTCTATAATCTTATAAAATGGGAGTCCAACCCGGGTGCCATTAGACCACAAAGTCTTGGCACACGGGTGCCATTTGAAATTGTAAATCTAAATCCATGCTTGACCAAGTCGAAATCTCTATCTACTATTTTTGATCTAGACTTTGTAACGTGATTATTATCACGATTAATGATACAAAATCGTGATATAAGCTACCATAAACCCAAAATGAAAATTTTAGTGGACGAAATTATGGTAGAAGCAAGGTGTGAGGACAGAATAGATTAGAAATCGAAGAAATTAGGGTAGTAGCAAGGTGTTCGGACAGAATTGATCAGCTTAGATCGAAGAAATGAGGGTAGAACGAAGGTGTTCGGACAAAGTAGATCAGCGATTGTCTCCTTGCCGGGTGTCGAGAGAGAAGATGAAGGGTCGAGTGGGTTAGGAAAGTTCTCGACTGTGAAAGGGTTATACAACTGGGTTATTGGGTCATGAATAGTAGACTTCATTGGGCTTGAAATAATGTTTTTTTATCTGAGGTAGAAATTTGGGCTTAACAAATTATATAATTTAAATATTAGGCCTGAATATATGTGCGAGGCAAATTATGTTGTGGAACCGTGTCCACCTTGCAAGGTAGACATGATTCTAAAATTGTTCATAATTATGAATATATAGTTCAAAAATTATGAACAGTTCTATATTCTTGCAACCTTTTAGCAATCTATCAAATGGTAATGATGTATTAAATTACTTTATCATCTGAAAGTGGGGATAATGTACCATATGGAAGTACGACTATGTTTGTCGTATACAAAGAAATTTCTATAATATGTAATATAATTGCAATTTTCTTTGTTTTTCATTAAGTAATTCATATACTATTATAGTCTTTATTTTATCACTATTGTTAAATTTACTATTATATCATATGTCCGTGCATCGCAAGTATAATTTCTACTTAAGATGTAAAGAGTAAAACAAAGAGCATATATTTTATAGTCCACCACCACCAATTGAGTTTTGAAAATCGAACAAATATTAAAAAATAAATAAATTTAATGGTTATGGTTGTTGATATTCATGATGCAATGCTTAGAGAAATGAACCCACCCGGCCTTATTATCTATCTCTTGTTTTAATTATTGTTTGAACTAACAAAAACACCAACCAAATACTTCTTCTGATCTTCTCCCATAGACCAACCAAATACTAGTATAGCCAATTGGATATTCTCCAATAGATCCATCAGTAGTTGAGTAAAAGAAGATCGAAGAGAAAAAGCAATGGATTATGTTGTTGTAAGCAGTCTACTAGGAATAGTAGATCAACTACAGCTTCTTCTTCTTCATAAAAATCCTTGTTTCATTCTTCCTGATGATGCTCAAATCATCCTATCCACCTTAAAGGACAAGCTCCATTTCCTGCACACCTATCTTGACGAGCCTAGGCCCATAAATATCTTTGATCCCGATCTCGATGAGGCATATCTCGATGTGGCACATCTCGATGAAGAAATCATACATTTTGCAATGGAAGCAAAATATGAAATCATCCTATCCACCTTAAAGGACAAGCTCCATGTCCTGCCGGCCTATCTTCACATACTTAAGTCCATAATTACCTCCCACCCCGATCGCCAGGCAGTGAAAAGGCTGTTTAAAGAAATCAGAGATGTTGCAATGAAAGCAGAAGATGAAATCGAATCCAAAGTGGGTGAAGTTTACTTGGCGGCTAACCAGCAGCAGGGTGAGGCTGCAGCTTGTGAAGATCTTTATCGGAGCTTGCAACAAGTAGTGAAGGATTTTGAGTGTGTTGAGGTGCGCATCAGAGATCTGCAAACCAGACATACAGCCTCAATTCATCATGCTTCTTCATCAACACCACCTTGTTTACAGCTAGAGAACGACAGGGATGGTGTCTCCTCCTCCAACTATGATTTAGAGAATACATTGACAGGAATGGAAGGTGATGTTGAGAAAATAAAAGGCATGCTCATTCAAACTTCTTCGTCCACTCAACTACAAGTCCTTTCAATTGTGGGAAGGAGAGGGACAGGTAAGACTACTTTGGCCAAAAAAGTGTACGGAGATCCATCTATTGTGTCTCACTTTGTCATTCAAGCATGGACGATTGAAGGTCTAGCACGCAGTAAGAGAAATGTACTCATTGGTATTCTAAGTTGTATTGTGTCATTGACCAATGAAGAAATCTCCAAACAAAATGATGAGCAGCTAGCAGAGCGACTTCGCAAACTTCTGATGGGCCAAAGGTATTTGATTGTCATTGATGACCTTTGGACGAAAAAGGCATGTGATGAATTGATGAGTACATCTTTTCCAGATGATAGAAATGGAAGCCGAGTTCTGATAACTACTCTAAATATGGTTGTGGCTGAATTTGCTAGTAGCTCAGGTATGTGGATTTTCGAAACATGGGGTCTGAATCCAGAAGAAAGCTGGAAATTATTAAGCAAAACTGCAACGTGTAATGGAAAATTATGTAGTAGTCTACCCCCTGAATTAGAGAAAATAGGGAGATGCATTGTTGAGAAATGTAAGGGATTGCCACTAGTAATTGTTTGGATTGGTGGACTTCTGGCCACACTCAACAACTCACCAAGGCAGTGGGAGGATGTTCTGTTCACCATTTCATCATGCGAGCATCGTTCTGGGATACTGTCATACATAATTGAAGTTTGCTACAACTATTTGCCTGGTCACCTAAAACCTTGTTTTCTTTATTTCGGAGTTTTTCCTCATGATACCAAAATTCATGTGAAAACGTTGATTAAGTTATGGGTAGCTGAAGGATTTGTAAACCCGGAGACAAACAAGAGTTTAGAAGAGATAGCTATAGAATATTTGTGTGATCTTATCAATAGAAGGCTAATTCAAATTCACAAGAGGAGTTTGGATAGAAAAATCAAATCATGTATGCTGCATGTTGTAGTACATCATTTTTGCTGGAAAAAAGCAATTGAGGAGGATATTATTACGGTTCGTAGGCCTGATGATAATGAGTTTATTGAAGGGTTTCGCTGGGTAAGTCGTCAATATGGTTTCCCGGAAGATAAAACCCGTTCCCTTTTCTACTTTGATAAAAATTTATATCTTGCAAAGTATTGGTCGATATCTTCATCATCATTGAAGTTGTTAAGAATATTGGACTTATCATTAATAAAATATTGGCATGGCATGCCTAGTGAGATTGTGAATTTGGTTCATTTAAGATATTTAGCTTTAACAACTATAGGTTCTGTTTGTAACTCTCAATTGTTTAAGCTCCAAAGTTTGCAAACTCTCATTCTCTCCGCTTGGACAAAAGAGTATCAATTGCAACTGCCATGTGATGTTTTGGATTTGCCATGGTTAAGGCATGTGCGCTTTGACAAGGGATCTTCATCTTATCTCCCAAACTTGGTTCAAAAGAACTTGCAAACTCTTTCATGGTTCAAAGTTACCGGCTGGGACTCAAGAACAACAAACTTTACAAGAGTTCCAAACCTGAAGGAGTTGGGGATCTACATTGAAGGTGAAGTATTGCCTAATGCTCTTGACAACCTTGCTCAGTTACATCAACTTGAGAAGTTAAAGGTTAAAACAGGAAGGGTAGAGCGGTTTAATCTTCCAAATTGTTTTCCATCAAACCTCAAGCAATTGACCCTTAGTAATACGTATCTTTCATGGGAAGATATAGACATTATTGGCATGTTACCCAACCTTGATTTACTCAAATTGAAAGATTTTGCTGTTTGTGGCCCAAAGTGGACACCAAGGCATGGGGAGTTTCTACAACTAAGGTTCTTCCTTATTGAGCGCTCTGATCTCGAACATTGGAATGCAAATGCAAACCATTTCCCAGCTTTGGAGCATCTAATTCTAAAATATTGTTGGGACTTGGAAAAACTTCCAAATGATTTTAAGCAGATTTCTACATTGCGATTAATTGAGTTAGGCAATTGTTGTTCTTCTCTTGTGACTTCGGCAAAGGAGATCCAACTAGCGCAACTAGAGTTGGGAGATGAAGGAGTACTTGTTGTTCGTGATGTAACTAAGGTCTCTCTCTAATTCACATTTATGAATTATGAATTTTGATAAATAGTTTATGAGTGTTTTGGTTCTATTAATCATTTTTTTTAATCCCTCCTTCCTCTCCTATTTTTTTCTTAATTGTTCTGGTTTTTAATTTTATTTTTTTTATTAGATTGAGCTGCCAACCAATGAAAGCTCAGATAAAAGGGGTGAGTACGCAATTTGATAACTTTGTGTTTGAGGAAATCTGGTTTAACCAAGGTATGCATACCAAATTACCAATGAAACATCAAAACCTAGCTACCATCTCATTTAGACATTTTATTTTGGGTATTTGCAAAGAATTAGCTTTTCTGTTTGTGTTTCTTGAAGGGAATCATATACAAGTTACAATGATGCATTGGCTTCATTCCCAGAAATGCATCCTGGATTATTGGAGTTCATCGATAATGTTGGCTGGTTCGTTGGTTGAACTGTTATTGTATTAAAACAATGGTTCTGAAGTGATAGTACTGTATTATTGGATTGTGCGATTCATTGAAGTGTTAGTGTTAAATATGATTTGGTATTTGGTTGAGATGTTAGTTCTGAACTTACTCTATCCAAACAATATAATGGTTCATTAGTTTTCATCTTTGCAGCAATTCGATTTTCTTCATAACACCATCCTTTTTATCTCATGATGATGCAGATCCAAGAGACACAGTTGGTCGTGGTATGGATTCCAGTAAAGGTGAGTTTGCTGCTAGTTATGGTGTTCTTGTTTCCCAGAATGTGCATACAATTTACCTCTTGCATAATATGCTCGTGTATTTGATTTTCAAATTTTGACTGCATAGAGTAACTACAGATTGCTTCTATATACTCAACAATCTTGCAAAGTATCCACCCTCAGTGACTCAACATATCCTCTTCTAGCAGTGGACTAATATGATTCTAGGAAACCATTCCAGAAAAATTCACAACTATTTAGCGGCTTAAAGCTAAATTATAACCCTCCATGAGTCCAAGACATGTTATAAACTACTACATATATAGCAGTTCCTTAGAGATGTCCAAAGAAGTGCCCACTTGAATTATCTATCTACTCGATCAGCTCTTTGTAGCTATAGTGTAAACTGCAGTAATTTCATACTGGTTCATCTAGAACAGCTTTGATGCCTTCAACATATATTATACAAGAATCCTATGCTGCATATCTAGAATCCCCCAGGCTGTAGTCTTTCCAAATTTCTGCAAGGTAAAATGGAGTATAATCCTAGTAAAAATTTGCAGAAAACACAAAACGATCCTCAAGGATATCTAGGTCAGGCTAGTGAAATTCTACCTGCACATGAGCTACCTCTTGCCCTTCAATATTTGAGGACATTGTACATAGAGGATCCACATGCATGAAAAAACCACTTATTGGATCTCAACACTGCACTATGCTTACTTCCGAGTGGGACACTCATCCTGTGACTGTGGTAAGTCAAACACGATTAACCACAGAGTTCTTTGGCTATTTGGTTGTCATATCCTACTTAAAACCAATTAGTGATAAGTAGGTGGATATTAACCATTTAACCACATCTCTCCATGGTAATGTCTCGGAGAAGAAACCAACAAGATCTATGGCTATATGGTGACATCCTCCATCTGGTTCTATTGTTTATTTGTTTTCAAAGCCCAACTTTACCCATGAGGAAGACTGGAAATGGATAGCTACTTATCCTGTTTTATTCTATTGTGCTAGACAATATCTATTTAACATAAGATGGTCTAATACACTAATCTTCACACGTTTGGTCCATAAGCATTTCACAATCTGATCTTATGTTGTTTCATTCTATGCAGTCCTCCATTTTGTATAATAATAGAAAAATGCACCATCTTTCAAATTACTTGACCTATTTAGGTTCTTGATAGTTGACTGGCTTTTATATTGACCACATTTTTGCTTAACCTTCCAAATCTGTTGAATTTGTAAATTTGAGGGTGATAGTTCTTTGTGTAGTCTTAAACACTCATTGTTTCTACAAAATATACATTGTATTTATTATCATTGTATTTTATTCTGAAAAAGAAAATTCAGACCTTTGGAAACTGAATCTGGGATGATTTAGACAGCTGTTTGACTATTATTCATGAATCATGATGCAATGGTTTAACCTTCATTTGAGAAACAAAAGTAGTTTCTAGTACTAAATGCATTTTCTTATATCTTTTGCTGATTTTCTCTGTTTTCCTGATTTGTTCTTTGTGCTTTTATATGGTGTTTCAAGATTGATGTCTATGAACTCTCTAGATTGGTAGCATGCTACTTCTTGTGTCATATTTTTGCAAAATTGTCGTCTCTAATGTAAATAAATTATAATGTTAGGGTTCACATTTACGGAAGTAAACTCTGTTCGTGCAAGTGTCAGTAAAGTAGTTTGCTGCCACTTCTCATCAGATGGAAATCTGCTTGTCAGCGGTGGCCATGATAAAAAGGTGAACAATTAGAGCTACTGAATTTCCTCACTGGTTCATATTTGACTGTTCTGATCTTTACAAGGTTTTGTTTCATTATCTTGTCATGCAGGCTGTTTTGTAGCATACAGATACCTTAAAGCCAAAAACTACACTTGAAGAGCATTCATCACTTATAACTGATGTTCGTTTTAGTCCAAGCATGACCCGCCTTGCAACATCTTCTTTCGACAAGAGTGTAAGAGTTTGGGGTGCTGACAATGTAAGCCAAACATTATACTTTACTTTGTTTCTTTTCTTTCTGAAATTTCGTTCATGTCCAAACTTAAAACTTTGGTTGATCGTTCAAATTTGTGAGTCCTTTTTTTACCTAACCAAAAACGGAAAGGAGGTTTCAAGAGAAGCTTCTTGCCACGGTTTGTTTAAAACGATCCTAATTGGACCTGTATTGTTTGTGCCTGGCTACTCCCTTCGGAATTTTACTGGGCATTCTGCTGGTGTTATGTCACTAGATTTCCATCCCAATAAAGAAGACTTGATCTGTTCCTGTGATGGGGATGGTGAGATTAGGTACTGGAGCATCACCAACGGTAGCTGCACAAGAGCGTTCAAGGTACAATAATTTCAGTTCCATGTTATGAATCTGATGCGTTCTTTCCTCACTGTCATTTTTATTTGATATCATAACTTGATCGTGATGTTCATTATTTGAAATAGGGTGGGACGGCTCAGGTGAGATTTCAGTCTCGTCTTGGCAGGTATCTCGCAGCAGCTGCTGAGAATGTTGTATCAATTCTTGATGTGGAGACAGACGTTAAAGGTGAGTGCATAGAATTCGTGGGAGAATTTGTTATGGCTATTGGCTAGCCTAGTGTTCAAAACTAATATTTTGCTGGGGCAACCCCAATCAAGTTGGTCAGACTGTTGGCTTGGTAACCACAAGACTCCTAGTGGGAGCGGTCTATTGACTTTCTTGGTTTGAGCTGGTTAGCTAAGGGCCAACCTAGTTACCTAGGCTGGTTTACCTCCTTGTGGTCCTTTGGCGGCTAAGGTCACAAGGCGGTGTTTGTGCACACCCTCGGGTAGTGGCCTCCCTCAATACCCAAAAAGAGAAAATAAACTAATATTTTGCCTTAGCTTTGAAATAGTTTGCCAAAGGACCTTGTGGTCTAGTGGCATCAAGTTGCTCTTCCATATGGGAGGTTGTGGGTTCCAGCTTCAGTGGAGGCGGTATTGACTCTTTGAACTTCAGTAGGTTGAGAAAGTAGTTATGGAGGCGGTATTGACTCTTTGAACTTCAGTATGTTGAGAAAGTAGTTATGAACAAATACTGCATTGTAACAGAGTCAGTAGTATTAAAGAAAAAAAAAACAAAACCCTCTTGTTGCCCCAAACAACCGGACAGTTTCTTTACATTATAAATTACTTTAAAGAGTCGACTTAGTTCAAACGGCAATAAGTTTCACTCGTGTGTTTTCCATCCTTCCTACTCTTCATTGCTAGTTATTGGATATTACCATGCAAGTTATCAACCTATCTCCACTCCTAGAGATTACTGTGAAACCTATAATTTGCATCCATTTAAGAATGTGATTCTGTGATAACTGACTAGCTAAAAGGGCATTTCTTGCAGTCTCTAGAGCTTTCGAACATGACCGAAAACAAAACGATGACGCTTCCTACACATGAAGGATTGATTGCTTCGTTGGCTGTATCGACAGTGGCGGGTTTGGTTGCTTCAGCCAGTCATGACAAGATCATTCAGCTTTGGAAGTAACGACGATGGCATTGCTTCGATTGGATGCAACCTTGTTTTTCCTCCTCCCCCTGTTGTATGTTCAACTAAAATTCCTTTTGCTGAGGCTGATTTGATTAGACAGACATAGGTTTTTAGTTTTTGGTGTTTAATTGTGTAAGTTGATTTATGTGGTAAGACTACTCCTGTCAATTCTGGTGCAGTGGATGTTTATTATCATGGAAAAACTCTAATATTTGTTACAAAAATTTGAAGTATTTCAGCTGTCATCTTTCATTTATACTTGCATTTTTTTTTTATTATTTTTTTTTTTTGCTTTATGCCTTACCCATTATAGAGTGCAACCTACAAATGGAAGTTCAACTTGGACATTACCTGAGGATATTTCCATAGAAAAAGACTTTATTCTTGGAGCTGTTAAAGGTGCAGGCAACTTTCAATCCCTAAGTTATAGAGATTTTAGAATTTGTCACTGAGCGTTGGTCATGCTCACTTTTCGTCCCTAAGTTATCATTGGCGTTGCACTTTTCGTCCCTGAGTTATAGGGTAATCGTAGAATTCGTCTTTGAGTGTTGGTCATGCTCACTTTTCCTCCCTAAGTTATTATTGGCGTTGTACTTTTCGTCCCTGAGTTATACTAAAATTGCAAATTTCGTCCCTAATCACTACTAAATAAGTGGTATATTACGTCACGTAATAGACAGAGGTTTTTTAAATAACTACCGTCTAATATATTTTTGTTATACTACGTCACTTAATAGACAAAGGTTTTTTAAATAACCACCGTATATATATTAATTAATATTTTTCACATCACTTAATAGACAGCGGTTTTTTAAATAACCGTCGTCTAATATATAGTGTTATACTACGTCACTTAATAGATAACAGTTTTTTAAATAACTGTCGTATATAGTTGACATACATTGCGGTAGTTTAACCGATGTATATAGTTAACATACACATCGTTTTTCAAAATACCCATAGAATGTGTATATTTACAACGGCAGTCACTTACACAAGCGACACTTCGAAAATCGCCGTGTATGTGTAAAAAAACCGCCGTAGTAGCTATGTTCTGTAGACCGTAGTAGTGAATGTTTTATTATTAAAGGGACGAAAAGTGCAACACCAATGATAACTTAGGAAGGAAAAGTGAGCATGACCAACACTCAGGGACGAATTCTACAATTACCTTATAACTCAGAGACGAAAAGTGCAACGCCAATGATAACTTAGGAACAAAAAGTGAGCATGACCAATACTCAGGGACGAATTCTACAATTACCCTATAATTTAAGGACGAAAAGTACAAATTTCCTTTAAAATATTTGAAATATGATTCCATGTGAAAATGGTCTATTGACTTTCTTAATTCTAACGGATCACATAAACACCTAAACAGATCAATGAATCATCACTTTAGCCTGCAGCCAGGATGCATACATTTTTGGAAAGTCCATGCATCATATAACTTGTATATATGTGACTCCCTTTCAAGAAAGTGAAAAGCCAATTTTGTGCAAACAACCACACTAAAATGTCTAATTTTGATAAAATTTTAGTTTGTTGAATAAAAAAATCAAATAAAATGTCCTTTTCATTTGAGCGACTAGAAAAATTTGTAATTAATACCTGAAAGTGTGTATTAGGTAAAAATTTTTGATGAAGTGATCACACACAACAACAGCTTGCCTCAAAGGTTTTTGATGAAGTGATCACAGTAACAGTTTGTCTCAAGGGTTCTTTGGTCTTTTCCTATGTAACTAGTTAGTTATAACTGCCTGATGGCAAGTTTAAATAGGATGCTTTCCCTCATTTCTCAATTGAATTCTTTTTCATCTTTTCCCTTTTGTAACACAGAGTTTTCTTTGACTTCAATACACACTTTTGTTCTCTGCCTGAATGTGATCTCAGCTCCCTCAGTTCATCATGGTATCAGAGCTACGCCGGACCTATGCGGCGGTGGTGGTGATGGAAACAGGTGGTGGAAGTAATCAAAACCAGGCGAAGCATGAGGGAGCCTATGCGAACCAGACTTCGACGAATCAGATGCAGCGAAGCAATGAGTTCGACGATCCCCTATTTCTCCACATTTCTGAGAACCCTTGCATAAGCCTTGTTTCTCCTCCATTGTCTGAAGTTAACCACGCATCATGGAGCAGGTCCATGAGAATTGCGTTGGAATTAAAAAAACAAATTTGGCTTTGTTGACGGAACAGTTCCGTGTCTAGAAGAAGATGATCTGAAACTTGCTTCGTGGAGAAGATGCAATCGAATCGTTTGTTCGTGGATGCTGAAGTCTATCAACCCTAGCATTGCGGATAGCGTGATGTACTTTGATAAGGCATCAGATATGTAGAATGCTCTTCAGAAAAGGTACTCACAGTCCGATCCTCATAGGATCTCTGAGATCCAGAATGAGATCTTCAAAAATGTTCAAGGAAAACTGACTGTTAATGAATATTTTACAAAAAGTAATGCACTATGGCAGCAGATGAATGTTCTAAGACCCCTGCCCCTGTGTGAGTGTGTTCCTAGATGTTCCTGCACTCTTATGAGCAGAATGCATAAACAAAGGGAAGAGGATTACATAATTCGATTCCTAGATGGCTTGAATGAGGAATATGAGACTATTAAGTTTGGTGTTCTTGTTATGGACCCTATTCCAGATATGGAAAAGGTCTTAAACATGACACTAAAAGTTGAAAAGAAGATCAGAGGCTCAATAATGCAAAAGTGCAATGAATTTGTCCAATCCAATGCAGTTCTTAACATCCAGACTCAAGCTGGAGGAGAAGAGTCTGTTGTGGCAGTCACAACTTATAACAACAGAAAAAAATTCACCAATGGTGGAGGGAAGAACATACCTAAGTGTACTTTTTGTGGTATGCTTGGCCACACCATTGACAAATGCTACAAAAAGAATGGATACCCTCCTGGATGGGTTGCAGGGTACAAATCCAAAAACAAGCAGCCTCAAGACTCACAACAACCATCAAGTGCCTCTGTGATTCAGTTGAATGACATAGGTATGTCTGCTGACCAGTTCCAAAAGTTGTTGTCTCTTTTGCAGAATCAAAATCATGGGAATCAAAGCTCAAGTAATGCTGCTATAACAGTCACAACCCCTGGGATTAAGTCAGATTTCCAAAAGTTTGCAGAAGCAAATGATGAAGGTAATAATCCTCTTGTTAATGTTGTTCAAAATTTACATATGGCATGGATCTTGGATTCAGGGGCAACAGACCACATCACTTGTTCCTTAGATTTTTTTGAGAAGTGTAGCAAAGTCAATAGATTGTCTGTCAAGTTACCAAATGGTGAAACTGTTAGTGTGACTCATATAGGGCAGATCAAGCTTAATAAGGATATTGTGTTGTACATACCATCTTTTGCCTTCAACATTATTTCTGTTAGCAAGCTAGCTAAACAGTCTGGATGCAAACTTGTGATAGAGGCTGATTTATGTACTGTTCAGGGACCACATGGCAGAATGACTGGTTTTGCTAAGGAGAGAAATGGTTTATACCTAATTAACAGTCCTCCAATCAAGAAAGGAAGTCAATCTGTTAGTAGAGATAGTATTCAATGTAACAGCTTGACTGTGGAACTTTGGCATAATAGATAGGGCACTACCCTTGCAATAAAATTCATATGTTGAATGGAATAAAGTTTGATTCTCCACAAAACACAATGATCTTGTTTGTGATGTTTGCCACTTTGCTAAGCACAAAAGGTATTCTTTTCCAATTAGTACTTCCAGAATAGATCACCTTTTTGACTTAATGCATATGGATGTCTGGGGTCCTTTTGCTATGGCTTCTCTCCAAGGTGACCACTACTTTTTGACAATTGTGGATGAACATAGTAGATTTACTTGGTTACATATGATGAAAAATAAATCAGAGGTTAAGACCATTTTCCAGAATTTCTACAACTTTGTGCATACTCAATTCTCAACTAAAATTAAGGCTATGAGAACTGATAATGGGACTGAGTTCCAAATGCATACCTTTTACATTAAGAATGGCATAGTCCACCAGAAGTCATGTGCATATACACCCCAGTAGAATGGAGTGGCTGAAAAGAAACACCAGTATATTCTGAATGTGGCCAGGGCCTTGAGCTTTCAATCTAGTATGCCTGCAGAGTTCTGGGGCCACTGTGTCCTACATGCATCCTATCTCATCAACAGACTGCCCACTGAAGTACTTAATAGGAGTACTCCTTTCAAGATACTAACAGGAAATGATGTGGATTATGGCCTTCTCAGAACCTTTGGCTGCTTGGCCTTTGCTGCTATTGTCTCAAAAGGAAGAAATAAGATGCATTCAAGGGAAAGGAAGTGTGTCTTGTTGGGATTCCCAACCATTGTCAAAGGATACATATTGTATGACCTTGATAATCAAACTGTTTACATATCCAGGGATGTTAAGTTCTATGAACATGTTTATCCCTTCAAAAGTCCAAAACAGGTACATGGTGAAAGTGGTGAACTCAACCCATCACTCCCTATGATTCCTATTTCTACTGATGCAGAGATTATCCCTTTGAATCCCATAAGGAGGCCTGAAAATCCCAGAGTAATAGCAGACATCATTGATGATAGAAATACTGTTAGTGACAGAGGCCAAAGAAATAATTTTGAGAATGATGATGAACCAATCAGTCAAGCAACTTTTGACAATGCTGAGCCAGACAGCATTACAACAGCTAGCCCTCATATGGATGATAATTCCACACAAGACCACATTCACCATCCAGAACCTAGAAGGTCAGCAAGGCTAAGAACTATTCCTCACAAGCTGAATGACTACTACTGTCACTCTATGATGGGAGATAAGTCTGTTCTGAGATCTTCTCCTCATCTCATAGAAAATTTCACCTCTATGTTTCATCTGTTACCTCCACACATGAGCCACAATCCTATCATGAGGCAGTGCAACACAATGAATAGAAAGAAGCCATGCAGTCTGAAATTGATGCTCTAGTCCAAAATAATACCTGGACCTTAACAG